TGATGTTATGATGGTGATGATCATGTGATGTTATGATGGTGATGTTATGATGATGGTGAAGATTGTTTCATCCACAGAGGGCGCAGTATCAGGACAAACTGGCGCGGCAGCGGTACGACGAGCAGCTCCGGCAGCAGGTGCGTTTCTGCAGATTCTCTGACTCCTGATTGACATGCGTCAGTCTAACGCCTCTGTTCTTCCACAGCAACTCCTGAACGAGGAGAACCTGCGCAAACAGGAAGAGTCCGTGCAGAAACAGGAAGCCATGAGGAGAGGTCAGGCCGACTGATGTCATTCTGAAGAAATCGCCGCTTGTGTTCTTCGTCATCTGAACGTGATTGCGTGTGTGTTTCCATAGCGACCGTTGAGCACGAGATGGAGCTGCGGCACAAGAACGAGATGTTGCGCGTGGAGGCGGAGTCTAAAGCTCGCGCGCGTGTGGAGCGAGAGAACGCTGACATCATCCGCGAACAGATCCGACTGAAGGCGGCCGAACACAGACAGACCGTTCTCGAGTCCATACGGTAATATTATTTACTTAATATATACTCAGACATTTACTTTTTTAAATTCAAACTTTTTATACATTTAATAATAATAATATGAAAAACCTTTTCTGAATTACATAAAAATGATTTTTTTTTTTTTTTTTTTTAGGTTAAAAATGCTAATAAAATATTTATAAATCTCTCTTACTAAAAATGTTTTCATGACTCCATAAAATAAACTAAATATTTTTATATTTATTTATATATTTTGTTTTTAGGTAAAAATAAAATATTTACAAATGTCCCAGATATAAATATTCACAAAGTGTTACAGCTTCTTTACAGAAGGCAAATGTTTTTTAAATTGTAGCAACATCTGGAAATTCTATAATATACAAATCTACAACTATTGTTTTCGTTATATATATATATATATATATATATATATATAAGTTCACCCATGAATTCACTTGCACGCTTGTGCTGGAGAATGATGGCTATATAAAAAATCCTATAATGTATGCACAATATTTATAATTGTACTAGAATTAAAAATGTAAATTGGTGCAAATTAAATTTGAAATATTTTCAGTTGTTCTTAGCATTTCAATAAATTTATGATGGACAATGACATGAAGCAAAATTTTGTGTTTGTGAATTATAAACACGCATGACCAGGTTTAGATGTGGTCATGTGACTGTTCATTGTGTGTTTTAGGACGGCGGGTGCTGTGTTCGGTGAAGGTTTCCGCGCGTTTACATCAGACTGGGATAAAGTGACGGCGACGGTAAGTGCTGGTGTGTGTGTGTGTCAGACGATCGTGTGTGTGTGTGAGTGTGTGGGT